AGTTATATACTCTCATATTCATAAGTTTGAATTGTATTTTTGAGAGAGTATACCTTCCTTCTACACCAGCTAAGTTTTGTTCTTCATTTTTATATTCAAGCCGTTGTGTAGAACTCTTGTTTGTGTTCTTCAAACACATCTTTATACGGTCGAGAATAGCCGTTAAATTCTCATATTGTATCGGTCAAGGATAGCCGTATAAATCCTTGGGTAAAGGTTCAAGGATAGCCTTTGAAATCCTTGGGGGAACGGTAGAAGATAGCCGTTAAATCTTCATTGTAAACGGTTCGAGATAGCCGTTGTAAAATCTCGGAGTGAATCCTATCGGCAAGGGTTGTTTGCCAAACTAGTGCGGTGCTTTGACGGAGTTCAAGAGACCGCGACTTAGTGGATTCGGAAATCCTTGAGGAGGAGCCTCGAGGTACTGGAGTAGGGAGTTCCCGAACCAGTATAAAATCGGTGTGCATTTTATTTACGCTTTTATTTCTGCGTTTTATATATTGCCTCCGCATTTGCCAACACCGTTTTTATTAAACTCCGAAAAGATTTTAAAACGCCTTATTCACCCCCCCTCTCTAAGGCGTGGGCACAACGACTAAACCGATTAACAGTTAGGTTTCAGGGCTTATATATATGACAATTGTAGCAAGAGTATCCTACATTCTCAAATTATGGAAGGAACTTCTCGAACTTTTCCTTAGACCATAAAATTCATTGGTCAACTTGGTACTCATGCTTTTGGTAGAAATCCAAAGTTCATGGCTACAGTGGTAAATTTAGGAAGGGAATTGGTAAGACGAAAAATTAGGCTTACCTATGGAGGAGGAAACGTTGGCCTTCAAGGAGTTGTTGCTTCAACAGTCTATACCAATGGTGGTATAGTTAGAGGCTTCATACTAGGGTGCATAGCAGCACGATAGGTCTACGGACCGGCATATGGTGCAGAGCACACCGTTTCTAGCAATTACTATAAGTATTTCGAGATGAATCATGTTGTAGAGGCTTTCATCATACTTCCCGGAGGGATTGTTACTATAGAAGGTTTGTTCACTTTGATCTCATGGGCATCCGAAGGGTTGCACAGTAAACCCTTTGGTCTCTTGAACATTGACGGCTATTTTAATCACCTAATCAAATTTTTATATGACGCGGTGAGGCAGATCTTCATGGCTTCCAGTCAAAGGAAACTTTTCATCTCTTCTTTCTTTATTGATGAGCTTTTAGACAAGCTAGCGTTTGCTAAAGCTTTTCCAGGTCCTGGGGCTAGTTATGACGAGTTCATAAATCCTAGGGGGTTAGACTTAGAGTTGCATTTGTAATATTACTTTATGTAATTTCAGTTGAAGTTATGTTGGAATAATATTGTCCATAAACATTATCAGTTAGCCATAAATATTATTCTAAGCTTCATGGCCAGTGCAAATCAGAAAATATCTATTTTCAACATCAGAATGCATTATGTAAATATCAAACATTTTCTCAAGATGGGTCAAATGAAAGATTTCATTATACAATTATTTCAACACACGTAGGTTCAAGAAAATACGAATATTCTTGAGATACAAATCGAAAGATAATTTCTTGTTTTCATAAGGTTTCTACATTATTCAATATATCCTTGAGCCCTTGTAGCACTTTAGGATCTTCACAGAGTATCATCCTTGGGTTGGATTCTTTGAACTGTTTTGTGTTTTAGAAGGTTGACCTGTTCCTGAGCGAACATGTTGATTTTGGACAGAAGTAAACGAATATGATTCAGGGTTAGATGGACATTCTTTTCGGAAATGTCCAGGTTTTCCACAACCTAGACATAATCCTTGTGCAAGCCAGCAATCTCCTGGATGGTGCCTTTTACAAACGTTACACTTTGGATGTTTCCATACCCTCATTTTGTTCATGGATGACGTTGATTGAATTGTCGTTGGTTTTCTCTTTTTTTGAGTGTAGGGCACTATCGATTTCTTGCAGGGGTCTCTTCCCACTTGTAGTTGGTTGTACATTTGAGTTGGCAACCTCAGTCTTAAGACTTTCATAGTAATCACTTAGATCTTTGTCGGCTTTAGAGATTAAGTCGTACGCCTCAATCAAATCCACAGTTTGAATAGTAGATACGTGCGGCCTGAGATCAGGTCGAAGTCTTTTGCGAAACTCCTCAATGCAGTCAGCCGTTATGCTCACCAGTGTGGGTGCAAATTGAGCGTGGTGGACAAATCGTTGTCGGTATTCAGGAAGTGTCATATCTCTTTGCTTTAATTCAACAAACTCAGCACGCTCCTCTTCACGGAATCGGGCTAGGATATATTCTTTCTTGAATGCCCAATCAAAGAATTCCCAAGTCTAAGGTTTGGGTGTGTTTGGATTTTCGTCAGTGCGTTTCCACCATTCATAAGCTTCCTTGCGGAGCAATTGAGATGCAAATTTTGGATGATCAACAAGAGGTATGTTCAAATTTTGTAGTACACGAGCGGTCTGCTCGATCCATTCAAGAGAGATTTGGGGTTCGGCAATTCGATCTCCCAAAAACTGGATACTTCAGTATGAACATTTTCGTGCCCATCGCTTGGCACTTGGTTACTTTGATCGTGAGTGGTTTCTTGACTCATTCTACAATAACAGAAATTTCTTCATTAGGATTGAATAGGCGAGTTGATAACAAATATCACTTTGTTTTATTTATTCAATCAAATTACATTGATGTTCTCGATGGTAAGCAATTAAGTCATTAGACATTTCATAACAAGGCATCACTTCTTTCAACAAGATTGAGCTGTCCATCGTTTCTAACAAGTACGTTCTTCGACCGAACAAGTCGTCAGTTAGTAGCAAAGGATAATGACTTTTGATGGTCAGTTTTGTTCAAGTTTTTGACAGGGATTTGATTGTATCCTGACCGCAAGTCAATCTTAGAGAACACAATGGGTCCTCTAAGCTGATCAAATAAGTCATCGATACGAGATAACAATAATGATTTTATTTGACGATAGTTGATATAGAGTCTCATCGATCCATCTTCATTTGTGTACTCATTCAAGATGAACTGGATCCGTTTGATACTCAACTTTGCTTCCACCTCTATAAGGTTACCATCATTGGTCTTCAGTTGAAGAATTCTTCGTCAAGAGTTGTCAACAGAACCCCGTTTAGTCAGCCAATTCATACTAAGGATAACGTCAATTTCCTTGTATGGTATTTTCAACGAGATTTAGCAAGGAATTGTGGCTTAACAAATGATTTTGATTTGTATGATATAATCACATATTTGCGTAGTAATGAGTTAAACATCAAGTTTATTGATTCTAAATGTTCTTGTTTGAATCAGCGATCTGATCGTCTTCCACATGAGGATCTTTGACAACAGCTTCACAGATGTTATTCAACTTTAATCGTTTCTTCATAGTCGTCTCACTTCCATGCAACCTTTCGATGGTGGTCAATTTCGTTATTCGCGATGTGATGCATACGTTGATAACGTATCAGAAGGTTATACATACTTCGTTTATTCGCTCGTCTCTTTCCGAGTATGAAAATTCAACTTGAGTCTACGCTTGGTACTATTTTAGTACTAACAATTGTTATTGACAGTTGTAGTTTTTCGGGTAGTAAACCTTCCCAGTAAAGGGTTAGTTTTCTCTCCGAGTGTCGTATCTCTCGAGGAGTGGACGAAGGGGATTAGTTTAATTACTCTAATTAGGCGAAGATTAGGACCGGTTTATGAAAGTCTTCTCGGAACGATTATAAAAAAAAGGGAGTAGAGTAAAAATAATAAATTAAATTTACATAGTATAAGTATAGATCTGAACCTAGGGTCAAGACATCATCTGGATCTATTTTATTATATTAAATTAACAATTGGAATAATAATATTTCTATTACTACTCATCAATTTCTAGATTTGTACTTAATCCGTTGCACTTGAATATCATAGCCTTTTGGCATACAATATTTTCTCAATAAATAGCTAATTAAATCATTCGAGTTTAATTAACTAAATAAGGCAAGAACAATAGATTAACCATTCCAACATTAATTTAACATCAAAAAATAAACAACCAAACTAGTCCGGACCCAGAGATCCGGACCCTAACTCATACTATGCAAACATAAATTAAAATAGCATTTTATTAAATAAAGAAAACTTACAACCTCTGTAAAAGCGGAACAGAACAGATCTGGAGTCAAAACCTCCGAAAATACTTCAAACTAACTACTAAAACTAATATACAAAGTATTTTAAGCAATTGAGAGAGGGGAACCCGAAATTGGGTTGAGAATTGATGATAAAAATGAGAAGAATCGTGCTGTATTTATAGGAACGAATCCAAGGCGTCCAAGTCCAAGTCCAAGCGTCCAGATCTGGACGCCTGAGCTGTCCCGGCCAACCAGATTTTGCCACATGTCATTCTTGGGCTGCAATTAAGTCAAAGCGTCCAACTCCCAAGCGTCCAAGTTGGACGCCTTGAGGCCTTGGTCCGTTGGGCTTCGCGGTTGTTTTGTGATTTTGGCCCAATTTCGCTCCGTTTTGGTCCTGAACACTGTTTTTGACCTCCCGGAAGCTCGTTCAAGCCCGAATCTTGATCCCTTGATGATATATTCTATTTTTCTCAAGTATTTGAACATAAAATGGATGATTTATGATAATTTCATGTAGAATCCCTTTTCATGACTCTTAGAACGAAAATGAGAATTTTATTCATTGAAAACACATTTTATGAGATGATTAAGTACTATTTACGTGCAATAACGTTTAGAATATGATGTAAATGATAAGAACGAAACGGACTTATCAGTTATCTAATGAGAATTTTTAACAAAGTCAATATTTTTCAAATAAATTCTCATTACCTTTCCTGGAGCAGAGGAATGCGAGAGTCGTGGATGTGACTGACACATTTTTTTTAATTCCAAATTTTGATCCGAAGATCAAGTTTAAAACCATTTGCTTTGATACCAAATTGTAACACCCTAATCCATCCAGGTCTGCAGCCCGTTTCGGACTAAAGTATTTAACTTGGTAATTGTAAAAATTTAAAACTTTTCAAACACACTTTATTAATCTCAATAATATTTTTCATAACATATATAGTACGGAGTATTCAACAATATTGTGGAAGCGAATTTATTATTGACATATCATAAATCATTTCAAACTTGTCACATCCATCCCAACAATCTCGCCCCATCTGCCGCCAGGAGCGAATTTTTCTTTCTGTTTACCTGCGTGTAGCAAATAAAACACACTACACGCTCAGCGGTAAAGCTGAGTAAGCATATCTAATGCGTTGAACATCCATATAAACTGAATCTAAATTCATAATCAAATCTTTTGATATCATGCACACAATGTTCATTTCAGACATTCACAGTTTTGATAATTTTCAGTTCATATCATCAACACATTATATTCAATTCAGATGTTATTCCGACAGTGCCCTTAAATTATTCTTAATCTAAGGCCAAATAATAACAATGCTCTTAGTTATTCTTAGTCTAAGGCCATATCATAACAATGCTCTTAGCTATTCTTAGTCTAAGGCCAGATCATAACAATGTTCTTAACTATTCTTAGTCTAAGGCCAGATCTTAATTTTCATAATCAGACTCTTAAAAAGGCAATTCATTATCAGACACTTAAACTATCATTAGTTTAAGGAAAATGATTCCGGACACTTAAATGTAGTCAGTTAAGGCAATTAATAATTAGTTAAGACACATCAATTTACTAATGGGTATCTCTTAGAGTTCTTCTAGATACCGTTAACAATACAAATCGTTTAATAATTATCAATATATTCATTTTACTCATGGTTCAATCATCAATAATCATTTTAATCAGTAAGTTCATCATTCATAATCATCCATAATAATCATTTATCATAATCATCAATCAACATAACAATTGATAACAAATAGCGGTCTAGTTCCGACTGTTAACACCCGAACTTACCTTCATGCATCACATAACACTTTTATTTGTTAAAAACATCATTTTTATTGTAAAGAATCATCCTTAAAATAATCATAATCAATTGGTATCAAAAATAGGATTTTAGAGCTCAAAAATAGCATTTTCAGACAATTCTTTTGGATCAGAATTTCGAGGGATCGATCCAGCCTTTTGGATCGATCTTTGATGGAAACATTATGCCCATGGGATCGATCCAAGAGGTATGATCGATCCTCTCTGCATATTTTTGAACATTGTTCATCTTCTTCAACCTTCGGGTCCAATTTTGAAAATATCATTTTTAGTTACCGAACTTCAACAAAACTATATAGAGATGTTCTCCAAGGTTCATAGATCATTTTGGAATCATTAACTCATAGTTTTAACATCAATTTCATATTTTATGATTCTTTGTTCTTCAAGCATGTCAAACACAAAACTCAACCAAACGACCGTTTATGAACGTAGAAACGATCTATACGAACATTCTAGTCACTAGATATATCTACGGGCTTACCTCAAATCTTAACAAAGGTTTTGGAAATTTTCCGGCGAAACTTCCGGCGACGATTCCTCCCAACTCCAGCGACTTCGGCGACCATCAACTATTGCAGCATGTTCTGCTAACTCTCAGGAGCCAATTGGTACTAAACTCATAATTTTTGGTGAGGAATGAGAAGGTTGATGATACTCTTATATAGGGAAGGGAAGGAGAAGGAGACGCAGTTGCTGAGTCATTGACGATTCACGATAGGCTTAGTGCGCTCGGAGGCGCCATTCGCACAGTGTCCCTGATTGGGACAATTTTGGTTCAAGTCAGGATACACTTTTTGGTCCAATTTTCTCCAAATTGAAATCTGTTTGCACCATTGCGATCGTGCAATTAAACTCTATCCAACAATATAATTTTCATATTTATTTTTAATACTTCTTTCGACATCATATTTTTGGATGTTTGACTTTGACAGAGTCAAAATTGGTTTAATTGACCTTTACTCAGAAAAGTTCTCATATTCCCTTCATATTATTTATTCTCATGATTAAATTATTTCAAAGTTCACATCATAAACACATTATTCATTTATTCTTGATTTTGGGTTTGTACTCAGGTCCAATCAAGATTACACAATTAGTCAACATATTGGATTTATCTCTATGAGACTTATCCAGATTTTGATATTAGATATTAAAACACATTTTATTTCGGCCCAAAGCCCAATAACATTTTATTTTAATAAAAACAAATTTGATTAATCGAATAATTATTCAGTAATAATTCTAGGGTATGTTTTGGGGCGTTACATGTGATGATTTGCAAAGTAGATACTGACGACAACATAGCCGATCCCCTAACCAAGCCTTTAGGAAGGCTAAAGCATGAGGGTCACACTAGGTCCATGGGCATTCGACCGATGCCAGATTGGCCATAGTTCAAGTGGGAGATTGTTGGAGTTGTGCCCTGATGGCCAACTGTTTATCGTTCGTTATTCTATCATGTATAGGAAGATATAATAAGTTTACACATCTCATGCTAATGTAAATAAATATTATATTCCTAAATTTATATTTAAAGATGTTTACCAGATAGTGTTTTTCTGCTGATGAGACTACATCTTGAAATAAACATTTATCTGAATGTCCATAGTTGAGTATTAACGAGAGTAGGATATCGTTAATGCATGTGAGACTAGTGTGTGTTGGATGTTCGACTTAGTCTCATAGTCAATGACGGTGTGTTCGCATCCGCACATGGGTAGATCTTATATGGAGATAATAGGATGCCGGACTGACCCATCCTAAAGATGTTACTTGAAATTTTAGTTCATGCTCTAAGCATCTTTAGCACAACCACGGGTGTAACTATCATTCGACTTTAAGTATTACGTTTTGTGCATATGTGAACCCGCATGCTTTGATGTATTGTCCTAAGCCATATGAAATAAGGATGGTGTGCAGGATTTGTTTAGGGTATGCCGCAGCGCATATTCAGAAACGTAGATTACATACATACAACTTTTTCACCACTCTTTTAAGAGTTTAATATATCATGGGGCCCACTGATAAGTTATGACTAAGGAAATTGCATGACCATGCTAAGATGTTTTTATGACATCTATTCCTATCAGTCAGACCTGATAAATCACTGAATAACTTAATGGATACAAGTTGGATTTTATTAATCCCTTACACCGCTTATTGCTTATAGTTTTGGTGCAGAGCCAATACAGTGGCAAGCTTTATAAGTTCATATACGAGTCACACACTTTAGACAATTTAAGTTCCTATATAAGTAATTTGTAAATGTGTAAAATAGTAAAATAAAATATTTTGGAATATAATATTATATATATAAATATATGGTTATATTATATATATATATATATATATATATATAAATGCATCATTTATTGATAATCAGGGGAGTTGATACATCGAGTTTAATACAGCCTCTAACCACTCTAAGCAAACAACAAAAATGAAGAGTTTCAACAAAGTGGGAATACATAATAGCAAATCTAGATAGATGGTGTGACGCTTGATTGAAATCTCTTTGCATGTGCTTAACAATTAGATTCGTCTCCTGAACCAGATCCTTGAACCTTTTGAGAGTTGGGCTAATGCAAGCTCTGTCCGTGTATAATGCCTCAGTAATTGCTCTGTCCGTGTACTCTAGTAGTGAAACCCATGAGTAATGATATTGAAGGAGCTGAGAATCCAAAAAGGTTGAGGATCTTCTCAAAATAGGACCAGGAGACTCTATCAAATGCCTTGTTCATGTCGAGCTTAAGCACCATGTTCCCACCTCGTTTTCCTTTGTCAATACCATTAATGATTTCTTTTGCAAGAAGAATGTGATGTTTTATTTCTGTTCCTTTTTAAAAAGCGCCTTGCTCCCTTGATATAATTCTTGGCAAGAGAGTTGAGAGTCTATTTGAAAGGATTTTTGTAATAATCTTGCTAGGAAAAGTTGAAAAGGAGATTGGTCTGAAGTTTTTCCAAGAAGCTGCGTTATCCACCTTTGGTGTCAAAGAGATTATGGTTTTGCACATAGACTTAGGGGGAGGGATTCCCAGGAAATATTCGTAACAGCTTGAAACAACATCCTCTTTAATTATTTCCCAGCAAGACTGAAAGAAAAGGCCGTTGAACCCATCCCATCCTGCATAGCTGTTGGGATTAAGGCTGAAGATTGCCTCCCTTACCTCTTCTTCATTTGGAAGCCTTGTCAACAGAATGTTATCATCATTTGTAATGATAGCAGGGATGGAGTGAAGGAGGTCAAAATCATGAATAATTGACTCCTCACAGAATGCCTGTTTGAAAAAGGAAAGTCCATCTTCCATAATCTCCTTCTGAGTATCCAGGATGTTGTCCTCTTCCTTCTTAATGTGATGTATAAGGAGTTTCTGTCTTTTTCCTTTGACAAAGTTATGAAAGAAACTAGTGTTGGCCTCTCCCTGTTTGATCCAATTGATGTTTGCTTTTTGTCTCCGGAATGAGTACATGTTCTTCATTAAAGGTAACCATGCAAGGATAGGCAGCGGAATATAAAAATTTTAACATCCTAACATGATTATCTTGCCAAGAATCACGTACTAAAACTTATAGTAAATAAGAAATTTATACCTTTCTCCGTAAGCGGTAAAAACGAACAAGTCGTAGGAAGAGCGTTGAAAGTGCAAATGTAACCGTTCAAGCGTCCGGTCTCCAACTTTGACACACGAACAACGCCGGAGTCTACCACAATCTTTATGCTAGTAAAGATTATAGTAGTATAAAATATAAAGATTAAAATTTAGGATAATAATAATCTAGTATATTTCTATAGAAAATATTTCTAATAATATTTAGAAAATATTATAGATATTTTCTATACACAAAATGATATTAATGGAACCAAACTAATATTTTTTCTCTTTAAAATGTAATGGCCGAAAGTTTCTTCTCACACCTCAATTAAAAGTGTTGTGTCATTATATGGAGTGTTAAAGAGGATTTAAAAACAATTATACACTTAATGACAAATTAGGAAATTTCCTACATCTTTAAAATGCAAAGTCAAAAGTGTTTTTGTCCTCATAAACATCACATGGCCGTAATTGAAGATTTGAGAAAGTGAGAAGGATTTTCAAAATTCTTCTCCACTTAAATGTTCAAAGTGTATTTTATTTGACACCAAAAATTAATATAAAATTAATTTTAAATCAAATAAAAATACCAATATCATTTTAAATAAGTATACAAATATACTTATTATCCCATTGTTTAATCCTACTCCTTAAATTGTTCAAAGTGTGAGACCCGTATAGGCACTTATAAAACTGGCCACAGTATTGGCTCTGCACCAATACTATAAGCAATAAGCGGTATCTAGCAACACATTACTGCCCCCAGATTATAAGTTAAGACGTTTGCACTGTCAAAACTTTTCCACGACTCAGACTCCGTGTAACTGTATCCCTTTGTCTCAATGTCTAAACTCAATGCAAGGGATTAATAAAATCCAACTTGTATCCATTAAGTCATTCACTGATTTATCAAGTCCGACTAATAGGAACAGACGTCATAAAAGCATCTCAGCATGGCCATGCAATTTCCTTAGTCATAACTTATCAGTGGGCCCCATAAGACATTAATCTCTTTAAAAATAGTGACAAATCCTATGTACGTAATCTACGTTTCTGAATGCGCGCTGCGGCATACCCAAAACAAAGCCTGTATACCACCCTTATTACTATGGCTTAGGACAATGCATCAAAGTATGCGGGTTCACATATGCAGAAAACGTAATACTTCACTAGAGAAAAAAAGAAGAGATACAACAACACAACAAAGCAATCACAAAAGCTATCTTATTCACAGTTAGCCCAAAAAGCTTGATAAAGAGAGATTTCTAAACTCCTTATCCAGAAGCAAACTTCTCCTCCTTCCAAAAAGCTATAGTGTAAACACTTGAAGGTTTTCTTGCCTCAAGCACCACACCACGTTGAAGGATATTACTTTTGATCAAACTTATTGATTAAAAGGGGGTAGGTCAACTCTCTTACAAGTTGATCTTGCAAGTCCTATTGTTCGGATCTTGCAGTTGTTGAAGAAGCTTGACCTTCGAAGGAACAACAAAGCCAGCACGAGTGCAGTAGCAACATTGGTCTTGTGAAGATATACCGTGCAGAAATTCACACAAGTGTAACTGTTGGTTCATTATTCAACAACCAACTACATAGTGGATTTTGAGGACGTAGAAGGATTACCCCACCTTCGAACCTCGTTAAAGTTTGCGTGTCTCTCTCTCTTATCTTTATTCTTACTTGCAATTATATTAACTGTGAAAACTAACCTATCCATATTAATTACTGCTCACTCCACCCACCAAATTCCGCACACAATCTAAAGTTCACAAGGACTCTAGATTAACACTCATTTTCTCGTTTTCAAAAGAAACGAAAAAGATTTTAAACTTGTAACAAAGTCTATTCACCCCCCCCCCTCTAGACTTTGTATTTCACCACTTTGGGACCACCACATGAGAAATCCATATCTGACCGGAGGATTACGTATCCGATCTGACCTACGTGGTATATCTTAAGCAGTTTGAGGTTCAATTACTTGATCTCTTTGCTCAGGTTCCAATACTATCGCGACTTCTTCTTGTGGTTCTCGAATTTCTTCGAGGTCTACCTTTCTCCCACTAGTGATAGCAGAAAGAAACTCCTTCTCAAGGAAGGTTCCATTCCGAGCAACGAAGATTTTGTTATTGGATGGATGATAGAACTCATACGCTCTAGTTTCCTTGGGGTATCCCACAAAAATTACTTTATCAGATTTAGGCTCCAACTTACTAGACGTCATGAGACGTTTTACATAAGCTTCACAGCCCTAAATCTTAAAGTACGAGAAGCTCGGTTTTCTCCCACGCCATAGTTCGTATAGTGTGCTCTCGACAGCTTTAGATGGAACTATGTTGAGTGTGTATGCTACTGTTTTCAATGCATATCCCAAAAATTATTCTGGCAATGTTGTCAGACTAATCATGCTCCGGACCATGTCTAGCAAAGTCCGATTTCTCCTCTCAGACACTCCATTTAACTGAGGTATCCTCGGAGGAGTGAGTTGGGATAAGATCCCATGCTCTTTCAGATAGTCATCGAACTCCTGGCTTAAGTATTCACCTCCTCGATCCGAGCGGAGGGTCTTAATACTTTTGCCTAATTTTTTTTCTACTTCGTTCTTGAATTCTTTGAATTAGTCAAAGCATTCCGATTTTTGTTTCATAAGATACACATATCCATATCTACTAAGGTCGTCAGTAAATGTAACGAAGTAAGAATAACCACCTCTAGCTACAATGCTAATTGGACCACACACATCGGAGTGTATGAGACCCAATAAGTCACTCGCCCTTTCACCGTGACCGGTGAATGGAGCCTTTGTCATTTTACCAAGTAAACAAGATTTACATACATCATATGACTGGAAGTCAAATGAATCAAGTACATCGGAACGATGTAACTTAGATATGCGTTTCTCGTTAATGTGGCCCAAACGACAATTCCAGAGGTACGCAAGATTCAAACTGTTAGGTTTGTTTCTCTTAACATTTACGTTATATATTGCGGTATCCATGTCAAGGACATAGAGACCGTTGGTCATTTTTGCACTTACATAAAATATACCATTTCTAAAGACAGAAAGAGTTTTGTCTTTTACAACGAATGAAAATCCTGCTTTGTCAAGGCAGGATACAGAAATGATGTTTCTGCTCATACTAGGTACAAACAGACAATCATTCAAATGCAATATTAGACCACTAGGTAGAGATAAACTATAGGTTCCGACGGCCAATGCATAGACGATTGCGGTATTGCCGACTTTTTAGTTGTATCTCTCCCTCCGTCAATTGTCTACATTCATGCAAGTTCTGCATAGAAGTACAGATGTGAGAATCACATCCAGTATCCATCACCCAAGAGGTGATATCAGACATATTGACTTCGATAACGTAAATTCCTAAGTTTTGGGGCTGACCCTGGTAAAGGTCTCTTAAGCATTGTATCATAGGACGCACTTCCATGTCCGCGTGGAGCCTTTGGAGCTTCGCGGTCATACTGGCCATAATGATACACTTTACATCTCCCGCGTCGTCCTCATACTTCTTGAAGGAAGTGAGTTCGGACGCACGAGAATTAACATTAGGGGTCTTGGGAGGATCCATTTCGAGGATGTAGAGTTTCCTCTCATAGTTAAGAACGATTCGGAGGTTCATCTCCCAGTCAAGAAAGTTGGTCCCGGATAACTTGTTGTTTTCCAGGATGTAACGCAGGTTGAAAGGGTTGTTGTTGTTTGCCATCTACAGAAAATTTTGCAAACTAGGTTATCTATCATGTTTAATAATTAATTAGGCCTTTAATTAATTATCTCCCACTATTTTTAACAAATCAATAACCCTCGATATTGATTCGGAGATTTCCGGCGAAACCTCTAGTGGGCCAAGATCCATATTTCATTATCTTGCGTTCCGCTTGGGCGTTACTCCACAAGACAACTATTTAGGTAGGAACATAGTTCCAACTGATGAGCCGGGCTCTCAGCTCTTGGTCTGGTGTTGGGCGAACAATATTACTACAACCGGACCAGGACACCTTCTCACCATACTTGTAATTAGCTGAGGCACGTCTTACAAGCAGACTACTTTGGTTAGGAATAGAGTTCCAATTAAATCATAAAGATCCAACTCCTGGCTGGATGAGTGAGTAAAATCATCCGACTTGTCATTGATGACCCCAACTTACTGCCTCTGAGTCGTCCATCCATTTGACCGAGACTCAGTTAAGTCTAACTCAATGTTTGACAGTGACCACGCTATGGCGGTTCCCGTAACCAGCTTAACATACACCGTACTATGCTCTGCTGAGGCTGAGTACATGACAGTGCACATTAGCCGGATAGGTGTCGGGCGTCAGAAGGCAACAGACTTAATATTTGTGAGGGATTTATAATTTTGATCTCACCTATCGACATGGCCGCGCACATGTCCATTACTAGCGTTCAACATACATTCAACATGCATTCACAAAACGCAGTAAATAAATGTGTAATGATTGTGGTCCCTAAAAGAAAAATAAAACGATAGCTCCCACTGGCTTCCGGGCACTTGGACATCGGGCTATCTCCATTCTTTTAGAATTCTTCAAACGGTCTTCAAATCTTTTCGTCTTCTAACCACCACGTGAGAAAAGAATCCTCGGTTGAGGTAAGAGAGAGAAATAGATTTACAACAAGAGTTTATGAGATAAGGCACGACACGCAGGCCGTATTATAATCAAATAAACTATAGCCACAATCATTCACCATGCATATCATACATCCACACAAGCAATAGAGATATACATACACCGGGTGAACCGCGCTCACCCCAGACAGTTCTAGAAAAATACTACGGCAGTAAATATTTTCTAAAACTCATAAAATTAAATTAGATGTCCAAATAAATCTAATAAAAAATTTTATAAAATCATTTTATATACTTTGGATATTCTGCCAGCATAAAAACTCCAGAATATTCCAAATGACCAGAATGCCCTTTTTGCAAAATTATTTTCAACAAGGCAATAAAATTTCAAAACAATTTTGCAAAAATCATGAAAATTAAATTTCAACTTTCAGTAGTTATTTTTAACATTTATAAACCTGGAAATAAAATTTCCAAAATTTATAAATCATTATTTCCAAAATATATTAGTTAAATCTCAATAAGTTATAAAAGGCCATTTAAATTATTTTTGAAAACATTAAATTATAAAAAGTTTAATATTTTGAAAAACATTCATTTTATTACTGAGATATAACTTTCCAAAACATATATTAGTCATTTATGTTATCAAAATACAAATATATAAATATATATAATATTTTGGTAATAATACCGAGTACATATATAAATATATATTTATTTAATTACTAACTAATATTATTTTGTACAATATATTTGTCAACAACCTTATTCAACTTAGAAATAATATTTCTAAGTTTAATAAAGTCCTTTTTGAATTTTCCCATATTTATTTTCGGTTTTCACCTAAATAAATACAATAAATTCAAAATAGGAAATAATACATTCAAAAATTACAATATAATTTTATCAATCATAAAATGATGTTTTATGTCCAAATAAAATTATATTTACTATTTCTACAATATATATATATAAATATATATTTCGAAAAATCAAAATATATGTATTTATATATATATTACGGGTAGAAATAAAATAAATAAATTTAAAATTCATTTTCAATGATTTATTTAAGTCCAATACTTATTCCAAGACTAAATAAAATCATTTTACCAATTTTGAATTTTAATAATTACCAAGTTAAAACTTTGACTTTTAAAATTTTAAAAGTCAAACGTAAAACTATAGTTTTGTACGTTGGCTCTGATACCACTGAAAGGAAACCATGCAAGGATAGGCAGCGGAATATAAAAATTTTAACATCCTAACATGATTATATTGCCCAGAATCACGTACTAAAACTTATAATAAATAAGAAATTTATACCTTTCTCCGTAAGCGGTAAAAACGAAGAAGTCGTAGGAAGAGCATTGAAAGTGCAAATGTAACCGTTCAAGCGTCCGGTCTCCAAATTTGACACACGAACAACGCCGGAGTCTACCACAATCTTTATGCTAGTAAAGATTATAGTAGTATAAAATATAAAGATTAAAATTTGGGATAATAATAATCTTGTATATTTCTATAGAAAATATTTCTAATAATATTTAGAAAATATTATAGATATTTTCTATACACAAAATGATATTAATGGAACCAAACTAATATTTTTTCTCTCTTTAAAATGTAATGGCCGAAAGTTTCTTCTCACACCTCAATTAAAAGTGTTGTGTCATTATATGGAGTGTTAAAGAGGATTTAAAAACAATTATACACTTAATGTCAAATTAGGAAATTTCCTACATCTTTAAAATGCAAAGTCAAAAGTGTTTTTGTGCTCATAAACATCACATGGCCGTAATTGAAGATTTGAGAAAGTGAGAAGGATTTTCAAAATTATTCTCCACTTAAATGTTCAAAGTGTATTTTATTTGACACCAAATATTAATATAAAATTAATTTTAAATCAAATAAAAATACCAATATCATTTTAAATAAGTATACAAATATACTTATTATCCCATTGTTTAATCCTACTCCTTAAATTGTCCAAAGTGTGAGACCCGTATAGGCACTTATAAAACTGGCCACAGTATTGGCTCTGCACCAATACTATAAGCAATAAGCGGTATCTAGTTGTTAACCACTTGTCAGGTGACTACAAATTAACCTATTCCCCAATTACTACACACTTATAAAAATGGTAGCAAAGTGGTAAGTAGGGTCATTCTTCCACAGGGAGATTTGTCTTCTATTATTTCTTCTCTTGATTTATTACTCAGTTTCCACAACACACACACACGCAAGGGAGGGGGGGGGGGTTGTTCATAAGATGCTAATGCTACGTAATGAAAATAGATTTTAACAAAAACAATGAGAACATATCAAAGAAGGAGAGAGAAGATCATGTAAAGATTTGTGGTTATCAAGTGGAGTGAACAAGCTTATCTGATGGAATTAGGAACAGTTGCTCAGATCAAAGTAAAAAATCAGATTCTCAGTTAAACTAGTTGTTGAACAAAAGGGAGTTTAGCTCTCTCAGCAAGAAGCTAAATCTCCACCTCAAAAATCAGTCCTTAAGAGAGATGAGCACTGCCTAAGGACCTGTACCTACGTTAATAACCTCAAGATGAGCCTGATGCAAATTAACATAAGCATGAATTCAGTTATAAAAAACCTTTTGAACATACAATATACTTGGACAGCCAAATACACTATATGCCAGTTGTTGGACCCCAAATAAGAATTTCAGACTGAATAATTGAGGCATGAAATCTACAATCAACAGTTTTGAGAAGCTGAGCACAAAACAGGATTAAACAACCTTCAAAAATTGTCTAAACCTCAAATCAAAGCAATGATCACAAATGCCTGAGACTGATCCTAAATTTCCACCAGACAAGAGAGGGATTACTCTCGGGACATGATCGTGATAATCAATTCACAATTTAAACACATGATCACAAGAAAATATTGTCCAAATAAGAGATCAGGACTCGGATTTGAATAGCACGAAATCACACATTCAATTATGAATCAACAATTAAAACAATCCTCAAACATCAAGACTGTATCTCGAATTTGGAAACAAAAACAACAAAGTACCTCTGGACAGCGTTCGAGGATCAAATCCTGCGAACGTGGTGACTCCTCTGTTCGGCTACAGTGCCTGATCAGGACTAGCGCTTGGTAATTATGCGACGGTTGATGATGATCGCGAGGTCTAACTCGCCGGATTATGCCTGGTCACCGGAATTTTTTCTCCCGGTGAACCTTCGATCTCACCTTCTCTCTCTCTCGTTCCTTTCTCCTCTCACCCGTCACTCCCCTCTCTCACCAACGCCCTAAGTCTTATACTAACTAATGGGCCGGGTTGGTTATTTTCACTTCGGGTCGTCAAGCCCGATTCTAACATTTAACCCAAAGGACCTAAAATAACACAAGAATTGCACTCTAACCTCTAGGATGGTCAACATTCTTTCTTGATCTTAAATTAAACCAAATTCTCACTAATGGTGACCCAAAGATTAGTAAATGTAAGGGAATTTAAAGACTATAAAAGAGCCTAACAGAATCCCCCACACTTACTTCTTGGCCGTCCTCGGCGAGGTTGCAGAATTCAAGTATTGAAAGCTCATCATCTCATTTCTTTATGTATATTCCTCCTTTCTCTTACTCTAAAGTCCGACCAAATGAACTTAATGTAGAATTTTCAACTTTCCCAACTCAAATTTCACCAAAATCACATGATGTAGTTCCCTTAGGAATGCTGACTGTTTAAATTGAATCTAGAGTAGCTGACTTCTTTTTCATGAGAAGGTGATCCCACAATCCTTTTTTGAATGAGGCCAAAGTCCCAATTGTCCTTACTGTTACTAAACTGCCCCTTTTCAACCCTCAAGCTACAATTCTCCAACTCCCATGTAACAGGATTTTTGGTCAAGCTACCCCAAGCCCATTCCAGATATCCCGGGACTTAGATAATCAAGGTATCTCATGGACCTCACCCGAGAGAAAGAGAACTGATAAACTGAAAAATGTGTGGGAGTTTCGGGATTGAGTACGGCCCAAAACAGAGGTTTGCCCTTCCAATTGAACTCTGCTCCATACACATTTAGTTTCCTTTCGGAATCTGTTGCTTAAGGGGACAGAGATGCCGGGCCACCAATGCCAAGTCCAAGAGGTTTTTCCCACACACATTCAGGCTTAAGAGTCTAGAGAGGTAGCAAAAAACAGTTTGGGTTAGGACTTAATGACTCCACTCTAAAGGTTGCTGTTTAAGGGTGTTCTCAATCAGTAAAATCAACCAACCACCTTAGGATCCAACTCAAAACAACCAGGCTAACAGTCACTAAAAAAAATTCTGCACCAGAATTTTAGTGCAACTCAATTTGGGAGTTTGAAAGCTGTACACTGCTCAAATGGACATTCCAGAATAAGAGACAGAAGCAATATTCATTCAGACATTCTAAGAAGCATTTCCCTTCCTATACTTGGTCCTCCACAACTTAGCTGAGAATTGGAGACCATGAATGATGGTTTGGTTTAATCTCAAATCCAGAAAGAAGCACACACATCACTGAAGGTTAAAGGGAGCATGCAACCTACTGTGTCTAGAGGGAATGGGGTTAAGCTTACAACCTAAAACCAACCAAGTCTACCCCCCCCCCCCACACTTAAGGTATGACACTGTCCTCAGTGCAACTGGTCTGGTCAGGCCTGCCAATCACACAATCACAAAATCACACCTCCTAACTAGCACATCACACCCTCCCCCACTTTCCTTAAATTACAGGAAGGAGGGGACAGAGGTTCATCATTGGTTCCATAAGGGAACCAGTTTCCCTGTTCAATGCTGCAAGCACAGTCACAAAGTCCATTATTACAAAGCAAAGTAAAACGAAACAAAACACTGGGTTGCCTCCCAGGTAGCTGCCCTGTTTAAAGTCCTTGGCCAGACTCTTTCTCAAGTTTCTTCAGACAGCTTCCAACCTCAAGCTGTCCACAACCTCCTCTTGTTGTCCCTCATGAAACAGTTTTAACCTGTGCCCATTTACTTTGAAACACTTGTTAGTAGCACAACTTCTAATGTCAACTGCACCATAATCATACACATGGACAACTGTAAAAGGACCTAGCCACTTAGACTTGAGCTTTTCAGGAAACATTTTCAGTCTTGAGTTAAACAAAAGTACCTTGTCACTAGTATGAAATTCCTTCTTTCTCAACTGAGAATCATGCCATATTTTTGTTTTTTCTTTGTATATGACAGAATTATCATAAGCTTCAAGTCTAAGTTGCTCTAATTCAACTAGCTGCAACAGCCTTTCCTGCCCACTAAGGTCAGACTCAAAATTCACCTCTTTAATGGCCCAGTAAGACTTATGTTCCAATTCAATAGGAAGATGGCAAGCCTTTCCAAAAACTACCCTATAAGGGGACATGCCTAAGGGTGTCTTAAAGGCTGTCCTAATTGCCCACAGAGCATCTTCAATTCTCAAACTCCAGTCCTTCCTATCTGGTCTAACTACCTTTTCAAGGACTCTCTTGATTTCTCTGTTTGAAATTTCTGCCTGCCCATTACACTGAGGGTGATACCCAGTAGAAACCCTTTATGTAATGTGATACTTAGCACAGACAGCTGACATGGTCTTATTACAGAAATGAGTGCCTCTATCACTAATCAATGCTTTAGGTATCCCATACCTATTCAAAATGAGTTCTCTTAATTTTTTAACCACAGTTTGAGAGTTATCATCCCTAGTGGCCACTGTCTCTATCCATTTAGACAAATAATCAACAAAAACCAAGATGTATTGAAAACCATTGGAAGAAGGAAATGGTCCCATAAAATCCATACCCCAGATATCAAAAATCTCACAAACAAGGATGGAGGTTAAGGGCATTTGATCTCTTTTAGTTAAAGAACCAGTTTGCTGACACCTAGGGCAATTTTTACAAAATTCAGCAGTGTCCTTAGACATGGTGGGCCAGAAAAAACCATATTCAAGGATTTTATGAACAGTTCTTTTAATACCCAAATGTCCTCCAGACTCTAAAGTATGACAAAATTTTAGGATAGAGGGTACTTCATGATAGCCCACACATCTTCTAATGAGTAAATCAGAACAGAATCTCCACAAAAATGGTTCTTCCCAGTAGTAATACCTTGACTGAGCTTTGAGTTTACATTTCTCAGCTTGTGGCATGCCTACTGGAAATTCTCCATTAACCAAATAGTTAACCAACTCACTATACCAAGGCAACACTTTCACTGCATATAAAGACTCATCAGGGAATAAACCAGTGAAAGGTGTCTGGTTGTTAGAGTATAAGACTCTGCTAAGATGGTCAGCTGCTTGATTCTGCAGGCCTGGTCTATCTTTGAGCTCAAGTAGGAACTCTTGAATTAGAAGCATCCACGTAATCAGTCTAGGCTTAGATTCCCTCTTAGCCATCAAGTATTTAATGGCAGCATGATCAGTGAAAATAGTGACCTTGACCCCTAAAACATAAGTCTTAAACTTCTCAAGTGCATACACCACAGCATATAGCTCTTTTTCAGTGGTGGTGTAATTGCACTGAGCAGAATCTAAGGTGCTACTAGCATAAGATATCACAATGGATTCCTGTCCTTTTTTCTGTCCTAACACAGCTCCTATGGCCCTATCACTGGCATCACACATTATTTCAAAGGGTAAAGTCCAATCACGGCTTTGGACAATAGGGGCAGTGTTGAGCTTAAGTTTAAAGAAATCAAAAGCTTTTTTACAATTCTCATCAAAGTGAAAAGGCACATCTTTACCCAACAAGGCAATTAGAGGTAAAGCTATTTTTGAAAAATCCTTTATGAATCTTCTGTAAAATCCCACATGTCCCAAAAAAGCTCTGACTTCTTTTAAGTTGGTAGGGTAAGGTAAGGCTGAAATGACCTCTACCTTAGCCTTATCAACTTCCAAACCCCTTTTAGAAACAACATGTCCCAAAACAACACCTTTATTTACCATAAAATGACACTTTTCAAAATTCAGAACAAGATTTGACTCAACACATCTTTGTAAAACCATAGCTAAATGCTCTAAACCCTCATCAAAACTGTCTCCATACACAGTAAAATCATCCATGAAAACCTTCATTATTTTTGTCAAATAATCTGAAAAGATGTTGGTCATGCATCTTTGGAATGTTGCAGGGGCATTGCACAGACCAAAAGGCATTCTTTTAAAAGCAAAGGTCCCATAATGACAAACAAAAGTGGTCTTTTCCTGGTCTTCAGGAGAAATAGGGACTTGAATGTATCCTGAATACCCATCCAGGAAACTATAATGGGATTTTCTAGACAATCTCTCTAACATTTGGTCCATAAAAGGTAAAGGGAAATGGTGTTTCTTGGTGGCCTTATTTAATTTCCTATAATCTATGCATACCTTCCACCCTAATTGAACCCTTTTAGTAATCTATTCCCCTTTATCATTGGTAACCACTGTGGCTCCTCCTTTCTTAGGAACAACATGAATAGGACTCACCCATTCAGAGTTTGAAATGGGGTAGATTACATCAGCTTGAATCCATTTTAAGAGTTCCTTTTGTACAACCTCTAACATTGGGGGTGTAGGACCTCAGGCGCTACCAACTCTTCTAAAACCAATTGGTGTTAGAAGAGGCGCATACCCTAGCCTTATAGTGCATTCAACACACAAGCGCCCACGATATTCGATTGTGACTTGGCCCACATAGCCTCCGCCACGGGACAATTGCTGCACACATGGCCAACAATCTCCCCCTCAGCAATTGCTCCCGCTGGGAATCGAACTCGTGACCTTGGCTCCGATACCACTTGTAGGACCTCAGGCGCTACCAACTCTTCTAAAACCAATTGGTGTTAGAAGAGGCGCATACCCTAGTCTTATAGTGCATTCAACACACAAGCGCCCACGATATTCGATTGTGACTTGGCCCACATAGCCTCCGCCACGGGACAATTGCTGCACACATGGCCAACAATTTGTTGACCCTTGTGTTTTGATAATGACAACCTTATATGTGGGATAAGCTTTGGATCTTTGAATCAAGTCACCTGGATCATTTCGTAGGGATTATCTTGCAAGTCGGCTTACGAGCTCCAAGACTAGAATTGGTGTTAAAAAAAAAGGTTTTTAGATCTTTTACATTTTTTTAAGTCTTAGTTCTTGTTAAAGTGTGTGGCACATGTTTATTCTTCAAAATTCTCTATTTATCTTAAAAGAATTCCTTCTTTATTGTTATTTAAAATGTTTTTTTTTTCAAAACTATGTTTTCCTAGGTTTTTGTTCGAATAAATGATGATTTATTCGAATAAGAGGGACCTCTACAGATTGCAGCTCGGTCTGTTTTAATCGAACAAATGCTTATTTTATTCGAACAAGTGTTGATTCCATTTTTTCCAGACTTTTGAAAACTATTCGAATAAATGGTTATTTATTCGAATAAGTAGCTTCCCAGAATTTCAGTTCACCCTGGTTTATTCGAATAAATCTTAGATTTATTCGAATAAGAACTGCGTTTTCTAAATTCCTGTTTTATCAAAACTATTCGAATAAATGGTGTTTTAGTCGAATAAATCGACAGTTTTCATAACTAACGGTCAGTTTTTAAATTCCCGTGGAGGTTTCTTCGGCCCTATCCATATATTCTCAATCTAGTTTCATTTTTCAAAATACAAGAACATCCAAGAACATTGACAATTGCTATCCTTTGAGAATTTCAAAGAGTTTTATTGAATCAAATCCTCTTACTCAATTAATTCAAGCATTTTCTTGAGCAATCCTTCATATTGAAGTTTGGAGAGTCATTTGTGCCATACACTATAGATTTTGTTGTAATCTACAGCATATCCGCTCTTGTTCGAA